GCTGGCTTACTCAGTGGAACATGCAATTCTTTTTTTTTTTTTTTATTTTTTTTTTTTAATATTTTATTTATTTCTAGGAGAGAGAGACAGCGTGAGCAGGGGAGGGTCAGAGAGAGAGGGAGTCACAGACCGAAAGAGGCTCCAGGCTCTGAGCTGGCAGTCAGCACAGAGCCCGACGCGGGGCTCGAACCCACGAACCGCGAGATCATGACCTAAGCGAAAGTCGGACGCTTAACCGACTAAGCCACCCAGGTGCCCCTTTGCAATTCGTGATCTCAAGGTTGTGAGTTCGAGCCCCACATTGGGTATAGAGATGGAAGGAAGGAAGGAAGGAAGGAAGGAAGGAAGGAAGGAAGGAAAGATGGAAGACAGAGAGGAAGGAAGGAAGGAAGGAAGGAAGGAAGGAAGGAAGGAAGGAAGGAAGGAAGGAAGGAAGGAGAAAACGGTGGTCCAGAGAGGGCTACAGACTTGTCTCAGGGCACAGGGAGCCGATAGTAAGGCTAGGACTAAAACAGGTGCCCTGGCTGCATACTCAGGGAAGGTGGAAAAGGAAGGAAACTGACCCGGGTGTAGGCCCTGCCTAGACCTGCAGCAAGAAGAAAGTAGGGAATGACAAATAGCTTTAAAGTATAGTCTCCAGGGGCGCCTGGGTGGCTTAGTCGGTTAAGCGGTTAAGCGTTCGACTTTCGCTTAGGTCATGATCTGGCGGTTCGTGGGTTCAGGCCCCACATTGGGCTCTGTGCTGACTGCCAGCTCAGAGCCTGGAGCCTGTTTCAGTCTGTGACTCCCTCTCTCTCTTACCCTCCCCTGCTCACGCTGTCTCTCTCTCTCTCTCTCTCCTAGAAATAAATAAAAATATTTAAAAAAATAAAAATAATAAAGTATAGTCTCCAGACTCATTAGTAGAACACGCCCAGTGATACTCTGTCCCTTCAGATGAACAACTCCTTTTTTGTTGTTAATTAAGAAGACAATAGGAGAGTGAGACAGGAGATAAGCTTGGAGGGAGGAGGCTGAGAAGACACACACCTATCCACACTGACTGCAAGCCACAGAGAAACCCAGAGTACAGGTGAATTTCTTGAACGATTTGTGAAGGTGCTATTGGTCTTGTCTCCTAGAAAGTGACTCGTGGCAACGTTTTGAGATGCTTCCAGGTGTTTTACTGTACTGGTTGGTCATCTAGTTCGTTTTCATTCTGTAACTTCTGTGTGGGGACTTCCATCATGAAACATGAATCATGCAGAGGGAGGACCGGCCCACATTTTGGATCAAGTCTCAAAAGCAATAGTGAAATGCTTTCCATTGTGGCTGATAGATTCACTGCCCTCTTAGTGTTCCCACTTGCTCTGTGAGGGCTGAATCTGTCTAAGAAGACAGGAGAGGGGTGTTGGGAGCAGCCTTTCATTTCAATTAGAGAGAAAGCTCAAAGTGCAAACCTTGATCAGGCAGCACTTGGAAAGAAAAAACCTGACTGAGTCTCATCGACTCTGCAGGGGTCTTTTGGCTGCAGAACTGAAGGAAGAGTTTACCCCAGAGAGGGCCAGGAGAGAATCAGTTAGGAAGGAGACTCTGATTTTGTGGGTACCCTCGAAGCTGTGGGAGTAAGGAGGAGATGGGACACTAAGTTGTGTTTACCTGTCTACTGAGAATACAGAATTCCTGAAGCTTGTTTGGTTTGAAGAATTTTCTGAATCTTAGCATTACCTTTCTTAGAAGAATCACTGGATATGGCCATTTCTACCTTTAAGCAGATACTCATCTTAACATATTAGCACCTCCAATTTAAAATTAATCTGCCTGGATGAATTCTCCTGGAAGGGATTACTTACTCCTTTATTTGTGAGGTAGCTACAGTCTCCCCACTGAACAGAGATTTCTGGTTTGTCACCAGACTATTTGAGGTCTCTCTCCTTGTTTGTGCCTGACCCTCTCCAGGACAGGACTAGGTCTTTCTTCTCCACATGTCCTCCCATTCAGAGCACTTTCCCTCTGCACCAGCTCTCTGACTGTGCAGGTCTGGAACACTGTCATCGCCTATCACTTTATTCCCCAGATGAAAGGCCCCAGCAGTCCCAGGCCCAGAATGTGGGGAGGGTCAGAGGCCAGAGCTGGTGAATGCATAGATATTGTGCAGTCAAACCCCAAGTGAGAGCTATTCAAAGCTCCAGTGAGTGTTCTCTCAGCACCAGCAGGAGGGAAAGGAGGAGTTTTAGGTTTGGAAACAAAGATGGAATGAACTTAAGACAAATTCTGGCTCAAGGAACATATCTAGAAACTCCAAGTTTCCTTCTCCTCCATTCTTACTCCTAGTAAGACATGAGATCTCTGTTACCACACAAATAAATGCAGAGAGAAATGATTCCCTCTCAACTGCAGCCCTTAAGATGTGAAAGATTCATGTTGCATAAGAGAAACACAGTCTCCTCTGACATTTATGAGTACGGTACATAGAGACAATGATAGAACTGGGTAAACATGGGGCGTCTGGGTGGCTCAGTTGGTTGAGTGTTTGACTTCGGCTCAGGTCAGATCTCACGGTTCGTGGGTTTGAGCCCCACATCAGGCTCTGTGACAGCACAGAGCTTGGAGCCTGTTTCAGATTCTGTGTCTCTCTCTCTCTCTATGCCCCTCTCCCACTCATGCTCTGTCTCTCTCTGTCTCAAAAATAAACTATAAAAAAAATTAAAAAATTAAAAAAATGAACTGGGCAAACGGGCTGGACGTAGGGCCTTTCTCTAGTTCTATGACCTTGTCTAGAGCCAGATGCAACTGCAAAGAGGGGGGGTCACATGTAATGATTAAATGATGACAGAAGCTGAGTCTATCATTGACAATGGTTGTACAGAAGTGGTGCCAAGAACGGAGCACCTAGGCCAAGTGCACTGGGAACCTGGGAGAGAGCCACCAGTAAGCTCAGGGAAAGAGCCACCAAACTCCATCTGCAGCACTTAGTGAGAGGGAGACTGCAGAGTTTTCTTCCTGAGTCCATTCTTGTAGCAGAAAGGACAACAATTGGAAGCCAGGAGACCAGAGTATAGCCCCAGCTGTTCCACTAACAGCAGTGGCCATGAACAAGTCACTGAACCTTTCTGAGATTCAGGCTGTTCCTCTCTAAAAGGCAGGGATGGCATTAGGGATGGCGAATGACACACACACCTTTACCTCCATCCTGCCTTCCATAGAGGCTGCTGTTCAACTGCTGGGAGCCGCACCGGCCTCGCTGGATGACAGTCACAGTGAGGAAATGGCAGAGTTTGCACAGCTCCTGCCATGAGAAGCAAAAAACTGGTATCTCCTTCTGCTACTACTGGCTCATGTTGGAAATGAGCCTGCTGGTATTGACCAGGCCTCACAATCTTCCAAATCAGACCGACATTCCCCACACAGATTCCTCATAAGGAAAAGCATATTCCTGCCTTTTCAAAAGAGAGTTTAGATGAAAGCACTGTGGATGATTGTCAAAAGGCTCTTTCTATGAGCCTTGTAGATCCAAGACTTAGATAATAAAGGGGGTTAAGAAGACAAGAGTTACAACTGAGCCTGGCCCTGAGAAAAAGAGCCTAATTTAGAGTTAAGGACAGATATCTACCCCCACCCAATTGTTCCTGCTTGGAGCACTGACCCCCAAGGCATCTTTGTTGATCAGTATTTGGAGTGACTTATTCTGGCCTTGAATATGCTGATTGCACCCTGTGAAGGAATCTATTGTAGGAACTTCTTCTTTTGTGATTATGGAAGCAAACATTGTGTTTCCTGAAAGACCTGTTTTTCTTAATACTTCTCCTTAAACAAACAAGCTATTGACCCCTGCTCACAAAGAACTAACTGCACCCTTTTTATGCTAAAAACAGTGTCTTGTATGCTAAAGAAACCTTCCTTCCCCATAGGATAAGCATCTAACTCATCTACTTCAATCACTATTGATAAAGGCTATGCAGGAGTCTTCTACAAATCTATGTTCTGGGAAATTGTTACATATCAAAGAAATTTGTCATCAGAAATCATTATCTAAGGCAAATGTCACTTCTATGCCATCCTTCAAACACTTAATTATAAAATAGAGCCCTAGTCAGAGCAGAGATGCCTGCCTGGTGACCAGTAAGATTCTCATGGCTCTCTCATCCCTCCCTCAACGACAATGTCCATCCTTCAGGGACCCCTGGACCTAGCCAGAGCCGGCCTCCAACATTCAACCACATTGCTTATAAGAATTTTTTTCTACAGCATTCTGGGCAGGCCCTTCCAAAAGAGTTGGTACACAAGCCAAAATCTCCTTATTCCCCTTCAATTGAATAATCTCTACAGTCCCCTCCAGCTCCTACATTGAAGGTTCTGACTTTCCAAGTAGGAGATAACCATTTTTTCCTGATTTAGCAATAGCTCACTCAAAAAAAAAGGGCGGGGGAGGAAAATGTGGGATCTTACGATCATACACTCTTGTATGAAATACGATCCACTCGGGCTGAGCAGGGTTTTCCTGAAATTACCCCGTCCTGGCTTCTGTGCCAGACATTCTTGTATTTGAGCTCTGCCATCTGTCAGTTCACCCAGGCATGACAGTCCCAGACTGGAGCTCCCTTTTATCCCAAATAGCCCATACATGACAGCTTAGTATTTGGCATCAAGAAATCTACAAGAAGGGGAATGATCTCAGGTCACTAAAAACCAAGAGGAGAGAAGGCATTGAATGATTCTATCCGATACTTGCCAAAGCTAACCAGATTTTTGGTTCTCAACCCTGGCAGGAAACCAATCACACAAACAGTAGCAGGATGGGGCCAGCTTCAGAAACCCAGGTGGAGGGACACCTGGGTGGCTCAGTCGGTTAAGCATCTGACTTCAGCTCAGGATATGATAGCTCAGCTCATGAGTTCCAGCCCTGGGTCAGACCCAGAGCTGGATTCTCTCTGCCCCACTCCACCACCATTTTCTCTCTCAAAAAACAAGAAAACAAAAAACAAAACAAAACAAAACAAAACAAAAAACAGGTGGATGCAGCTGTATTTTATTGAAAGAAGCTATGAAGTGGTTAACACGGGCCCGCCCCACCCCTCAAACCATGCAAAGGGAAGCCTTGGGCAGGGAAGGATTTATGTATTGGGGAGGAGCTCAGACATGAGTTATTTCCCTCAGGGCAGGGAAGGGAGAGGGGAGAAGCAGGGGTCTCAGTTGGTGAGGGGAGCATCTCGCTGCTCTGGCCTCAAGTGGAGACCTAAACAGAATCGTCGAAGTGGACTGGCATGATTGGGTCCCCCTCACAGGCCACAATGATGTATTTCTTTTCCTGGGAGGTCTGGTATGTACATTTGGGGTATTTGGAGCCATGCTTTAGGTGGCAGTTGGTGATGTTCATCTTGGAGGTGCTCTTGTGGCAGTTGGGCTGCCCGTTCTTGCAGGTGACATTTCTCTGGTGGCAGACGGCCTGGATATCTGCCAGAGGCTCGTGTACAAAGGTGTTCACTGGCTTGCACCATCCGTCTGTCATATCCCGGCGCTTCATCATTTCGTTGCAGTAGCTGGGGCTGCTGGTGGTGGTGTCTGAGTCCACGTGCTGCCGCTGGAACTTCATGACCCGGGATTCCTTGCCCAGAGAAGTCTGGACACACCCCAGTGCCAGCAGCACCAGGACCAGAAGTGGGAACAGGTTGAAGAACCTCTCCTGAGCCATGGCGGTCTCACTCCTCTGGGAGAGAGCCTAGCTGGGAAAGGGAGAGAAGAGAGAACACGCTGCCTAAGAAAGAGAATCCCAGCTCCTACCTGTGGCCTCCCTGGCTCACAGTCTCCCTGTGGGTCACCCAGAAAGATATCCATCCCTCTGCACAATTTTCCAAGTAACAGGTTCTCCCACTAGCTAGAGAGAGGTGGTCTTCCCCTCTGGGTGATGACCTTGAAAGTGACCTCAAGTCCTGCAGTCCTGTGCCTGAATACTAGGGAGTTTTAAATTTAAAATCCATCTATACCCAGTACCCAACCAGCTCATTAGAAAATCCTTTTGAGGGGCGCCTGGGTGGCTTAGTCGGTTAAGCATCCGACTTTCGCTTAGGTCATGATCTCGCGGTTCGTGGGTTCAAGCCCCGCGTCGGGCTCTGTCCTGACTGCCAGCTCAGAGCCTGGAGCCTATTTCAGAGTCTGTGTCTCCCTCTCTCTCTGACCCTCCCCTGCTCACGCTGTCTCTCTCTCTCTCTTAGAAATAAAAATATTAAAAAAAAAAAAAAAAGAAAATCCTTTTGAATAAACCATGAGCTAAACTGCATCCCTGGGATACCACCAGGACATCCAGGATCATGACTGACAGAGCCCTGTTGTTTTCCAACACAAGGAACAGCCCAGTGGCTAACACTGGCATCACAAAGGGATGCCATTGTATTCCAAAGACAGATGCCTGCATCTCCCGGCTGGGGGTGGAGGGGCTGCATTCTTTGGCTGTCTGCAGCTCCCAAGCTCCATTTCGATATTTGCCTAGCCCAAGCTTTCTTGGTGCTAGCCTTGCCCACCCTGATCCCTCTTCTCCAACCCTTAAGCAGAAGTCCCTGAGATCACCTCTTGGGCCACTGACCTGGGTCTCTAGCTTTGTCTTCAGGTGAGAGCAGAAGGCCAGTTTCTGCAACTCCTGGATCCCTGGCGTATGAATTTTATACAGCTTACAAAGGCGGTTGGCTTCCAAGAAAAGAAGGGTGGGAGGAGCATCTTGCTTTCAGTCCAGAGGGAAACAAGGATGTTGGGAGCAAGGGGTGAGGAATCAGCCACGCCATCCTGTTTTCAGCTGGGAAGTATGAGTCTTTGTCTATAGGAACCTTCTTACCATGTGAATCTCATGGGTCTGCTGGTTCACAAGGAGTAACAGAGAAAGTCACCATATCACTGATGCCTGAACTCCAGCAAAGTCCTAGTAATCTCGGGGCCATTTTCACCAAATAGTCTTCAGTGGTTAACAAAGGACACATAAACATGTGATCACCAGAGTAGAAGCGAAATGAATGAAGGTCCTCTCTCTCCCCAGGGGTCCTGGAGCAGCTGGAATTCCTTCTGTGGGGAGGGGGGTGAGGCATCCAGCTGGAGGCTTTGCAGATCTGGGAGCAGGACGCAGTTCCCACCTGTGACCTTGCCCAGTGTGGCCACTGCATCCCACCTCGATGGGGAAGTTGAGTGTGTGGGCGGATTACATCCACAGCGACCACTCCTCTAAGGGCAGAGTTGAGGAGAGGAACCAAAGCTAAACCAAAACCCAAATCCCTGTCGGAGGAAAAAAAACAAAGAACGCCATATTTTTCCCCTTTTCTAATTAATTTTTAATTTTATTTTTACTTAAAAAATTTTTTTTAATGTTTTATTTATTTCTGAGAGAGAGAGACAGTGTGAGCAGGGGAGGGTCAGAGAGAGAGGGAGACACAGAATCTGAAACAGGCTCCAGGCTTTGAGCTAGCTGTCAGCACAGAGCCCAACGCGGGGCTCAAACCCATGAACCGTGAATCATGACCTGAGCCGAAGTCTGACACTTAACCAACTGAGCCACCCAGGTGCCCTGTTCTCTGTATATAAGTCTCTTATATATTTTTTTTAATGTTTTATTTATTTCTAGGAGAGAGAGAGACAGAGAGACAGCGTGAGCAGGGGAGGGTCAGAGAGAGAGGGAGTCACAGACTGAAACAGGCTCTAGGCTCTGAGCTGGCAGTCAGCACAGAGCCCGACGCGGGGCTCGAACCCACGAACCGCGAGATCATGACCTAAGCGAAAGTCGGACGCTTAACCGACTAAGCCACCCAGGCGCCCCTATAAGTCTCTTATATTTTGTCCCCCTCCCTGTTCTTATGTTATTTTTGCTTCCCTTCCCATATGTTCATCTGTGTCTTAAAGTCTTCATATGAGTGAAGTCATATGATATTTGTCTTTCTCTGACTAATTTCCCTTAGCATGATATCCTCTAGTTCCATTCACATAGTTGCAAATGGCAAGATTTAATTCTTTTTGATTGCTGAGTAATACTCCATTGTATATATATACCACATCTTCTTTATCCATTCATCCATCCATGGACATTTGGGCTCTTTCCATACTTTGGCTATTGTTGATAGTGCTGCTGTAAACATTGGGGTGCATGTGCCCCTTTAAACAGCACACCTGTATCCCTTGGATAAATACCTAGTAGTGGGTCATAGGAAAACGCCATATTTCTTGACAGCAGAATTGCCTCTGACAACCAAGAAAAAGAGGCAAAACTGAAGAACAACAAAGGCCTTTATGGGGGGGGGGTCTCAGGATTGCAGTTTGGGGAGCACAGATCCCAGGGTACCCAGAAAAGTGTTCTGCCTGCACAGGAAGAGTGGAGATTTTCATGAGAAAGAGGGACAGGGGGGCAACTACCTGACTTGAATAAGGGAGGAGAAGGAAAAACGTGATTGGCACTAACAGACTGAGCCATGCGTATTTACACTTTGACTGACTGACTTCTTGGTGTTATCAAGCCACACTCTTCCTGATAGGCATTAATTAATTACTGTCATCAGAAAGTCCACACTACCAGTTTTATGATACAGATGCCAGGTGGCCTGCTGACTTTGTAAGCAACAGCTTATAAAACAATTACTGTGTCTGGCCCAGTTCAAAAGGTCTTTTTGCCTAGTTCAGAAGTTCCTTAGAAAAGCAAATGGAATTTCAAGATGGATTCTGTCATGTCTAGAAATTTTATATAACTTCACACCTCCTAGAAAGGGACCTGTTTTTGCTGGGTGACCATTTTGATTCTTCTGGAGTGAAAAAAAATAAACATTCCCTCCGGCTATCTTGATCCAAATCCTGATTTAGTTTCTTAAAGGTTAGGCAAGCTACAACTTAATTCATTTCTCTGTTCCTCAGTTTCCTCATCTCTGAAATGGGGATGATGATATGTATGTCTTGAATTTATTATGAGAACAAAATAAGGTAAGATGTATAGAGGGCTTAGAGAGGTCTTTAGAAAGCGTGATAAATGTTGGCTCTCGTGATTGCTCATGCAGGGTGACATTGAAATCCTTAAGGAGTCTGTTTCATTAACAACATGCCATCTCTGACTTATTCTTTATAAGGGGTGAAGTAAAGGAACTGCCAGGCTTTTGTTTTGCTAAAAACCTGAACTGAAAAAAAGCACAAAGTTTTGAAGCTCTGGGGTAGGAGAGACAGGGGAAAAGGAGAGAAGAGAGGGACTTTTGGGGGAAGAACAGAATTCTTTCAAGGGAAGCGTTTTTATCGTTTTGCCACATGCTATCCAGGAAATCTTTAGTAAAGTCAGCATCATTTGCTAATGCATATTAATTTGGAAGTAGAAGTAGGGCCAAGGAAGATGTGGTACGGCATGAGCTTTCAGTTTTCATGTTTTTGTAATTTGTCCAACACCCCACCCTCCACCCAGGTTTTGTCTGCCTCTTAGTCCTTAGATAGTACTCAGATCAACTGGAATAGTGTTGGGAGGAAAACTTTTCCTAACCACTTAGGTTCATGTCAGAGAGCCTGCAAATTTACTGACAAAAGACAGATTAACAGGCAAATAGACAACATTTATTCATAAGCCTGGGTAGGAGAACAAAGGAAGTGGCTCCCTAAACAGCTAAGGATAAGGGTTTATATACCAACTTTATAGGGGAAAAGAGGGAGGAAGGGCTCTATAGGAAATACATGGGGTTTTGTTTTTGCTTTTTTTTAAGAGAGATCAATGAGCTTTTAGGGGAACAATGGGAAGTAATATAGTTTGTGATAATGTTTGTTTATGCAGGTGTAAGTGATCTGTCTTCTTCCTGGCTATAAGACTCCCCCAGAAGGGATTTACAGTGCCTTTGCTTTCAGAAGACTCTGCCTTTATTCAGATAAGAGAAGCTCTGAAAACACTTCTGTATCTTCTGAGTCTCAAATATCTTCAGTTTAAAATAATACCCATATTGGGGCACCTGGGTGGCTCAGTTGGTTGAGCATCTGACTCAGGCTGAGGTCATGATTTCATGATTTATGAGCTGGAGCCCCACATCGGGCTTTGCACTGACAGGGCAGAGCCTGCTTCGGATTTTCTGTCTCCCTTCCTCTCTCTGCCTCTCCCCCATTTGTGTTCCTCTCTCTCTCAAAAAATAAGTGAACATAAAAAAATTTTTTTTGAGTAATCTGCCTATCAATTCTGGGAATCCAAGTGGGTCTTGCTAAAAAAACAAAATCCAACTGAGTGACTGTAAAGATGTAATTGGCTTTATTTGATGATGCATGAATGTGGCTGCATCCCATTGAGCAGACAGAAGCTCTGAGGAGCTATACAAAATGGAAGACCTTTATGGTCAGAAGGAAATGGGACAAGGAAGTTAATCTAGTGAAGAGTAGATTGTTTCAGGCATAAGCAACAGGGAAAGTTGAAATATCACGTGCTACCTAATAAGGTACAACAAGAAGAATGTAGCATCACTTCCCTGGTCTTCCTATCAAAGGCACATAACATGAATTTAGTAACAAAGAAACATCAGGCAAACCCAAATTGAAAGATATGCTACAAAACAACTGTCAAAGTCAGGAAAAACCTGAGGAATTGTCCTAGGTGGGAGGAAAGTAAAGAGACATGACAACTAAAACAACATGTAATTCTGAACTGAAATCTTTTGCTATAAAAGACACCACTGAGGGGTGCCTGGGTGGCTCCATTGGTTAAGCATCCAGCTTTGGCTCAGGTCATGATCTCATGGTTTTTGAGTTCGAGCCCCACATCAGGCTCTGTGCTGACAGCTCACAGCCTGGAGCGTACTTCAGATCTGTCTCTCCATCTCTCCCTGTCCCCGCCACCCCCCCACTCTTGCTCTTTCTCTCAAAAATAAATAAGCATTTAAAAAAATTTTTTTTAAAGAATGACAAATACATAACTCATTCCAAAGAAGGGAAGAAAGGAGAGGAAATAGAAATGCCAAACAAATGAGACAAATAGAAAAAGCAAAATAAGATAGATATACACTGAGGAAGATAAAAATGATAATGACGATATATAAATGGACTAAGTGGTCCAGTTAAAAGACAAGATTGATAGAGGAAAAAAATCTAACACTCTCTCTCTATGTAAATATAGATAGATGGATGGATACTTATGTATATGTGTATTTATACATAACATAATTTGTATATATACCTCACAATTTTTAAAAATGTTTAAGAAGGAAATACTTTATTAGATGATGAATTATGATAATCAAGAGATCAATGGAGTATTTGCTGGACTAGTTTCAGAGCATCCTTATTCCAGTAAGTTGAAGAGAAAGAGACAAAGAAATAGAGTTAACAAGCAGGCAGGCAATGGAATGGAGTGAATTTGTGCACTAGCCTGATGAGGAGGGCTGGGGAGAAGGTGACATGAAGGTGTGCATATCTTGAGGAAAGGGTACAGGAGAAGACAATGAAAATACAACGTAGAGATAGAGTATAGTCCCAGGAATGGGCAGAGATGGGTAAGGAACAGGAGACTGTTCTCTGTGAGCATGGTGGAAAGGGGAGGTAGGTACCAGACAATGAAAGGATGCAGCTGAGAAACTGGGAAGCTGACTAAGAATATAAGCAGAACAGGAACATCCTTTCTAGCAATGGAATTTTCTCCTAGGAATGATACTTGAGTCACTTCTCTTTTGCCTCAAACCTCTGTTTTAAAACAGGGTTCTAAGAATGTCTACATCATCTTTGTTGTCCTCTGGGTCATAGGGAAAGCTATCCAGTATAGAATGAGCCTGTGACCCATTATTGAGAGGCTTCATTTCATCTACATTGATTTATCTTTACATATCAAAATGTGATGTCAATCTCTAGGAATTCTTCTAAAGTAGTTTCACAACTACTTCACAACTGTAGTTTCTTTATGCATATACAACGTGATATTTGTTTCCATAAATTGCTTTTGTGAAATTGAATAGAGCCAGTAGTGGGACACCTAGCTGGCTCAGTCAGAGGAGAGTGCTACTCTTCATCTCCAGGTCATGAGTTCAAGCCCCA